ATAAAAAATATTTTACGGCCAGGTGGTGGTGGCGCACACCTTTAATCCCAGCACTCGGAAAGCAGAGGCAGGTGGTTCCCTGTGAGTTCTAGGCCAGCCTGGACCACAAAGTGAGTTCCAGGATAGTCAGGACTGTTACACAGAGAAACCCTGTCTAGAAAAAAAAAAGTTATAAATTGAACATGGTTGGGGAATGAAAGGGAGGTAGTAGAAGATGGATATGATTAAAATTCATGAAATAAATGTATGAAAATTTCAAAGCATAAATAAAAATTATCTTGGCACAGTGACAGTCACTTTAGATGTAATATTAAGTCTCTGGAAAAAGTCATTAAAAACAAACAACCAACCAAACAATCAAATAAATAGAGTGTGGTGGCCTAAGCCTATAATCCCAGCACTTTGGCTGCTAACACAGGATGATCTTGAGCTGATGCTAGCCTTGGCTGCACAGTGAGCCCCAGTGTGGCTCACTCCGTCCTGCCATCACCGATGTTAGGGTCTAATGCATACAGTCAACACAGGCACACGTTTTCTTCATTTGATTCCCTTAGTGTTGGGGAGTTTGTGACTTAGGCTGGCCTTACCTGCAGATCTTCCTGCCTCAGCCTCCAGAGATCTGTTCTTAGAAAATAAAAACAAGGGCCAATTAAAAAAGAGCCCAGTAGGCAAAATGGCTTGGTGTGCTAACCTGGTGTCCTGAGTTGGAGCCACAAAGTAGAAGAGAGTCAACTTCCCCAAGTTGTCCTCTGAACTCTACATTTGCACCAGGATATGAACAAGTGCACACACACACACACACACACACACACACACACTCTCACACCAGAATTGTTGATAGAGGTCTATAATCCCAACACTCAGGAAGTGGAGGCAGGACATTCTCTGTCACTTAGCGAGTTTGAGGTTGTCCTGGATTGCCTGAGATCATATCTCAAAACAACAAACAAACAAAAGCCTAACTAAAATAAAAACAAAACAAAACAGCCAGGTTTGGTGTTGTAGCCCTTAAAGCCCAGCACTTGGGAGGCAGAAGCTGACTTCGGTGAGCTCCAGGCAAGCGAGTTCTAGGAGGACAAAACAGAAAATAAGCAAACAAAAAAACAGAAGCAGCAGCAACAACACAGCAAAACAAAGTCACACACACACACCAAAACCAAACCAAACACAACAAAACAAAGTCACACACACACCAAAACCAAACCAAACACAACAACACAGCAAAGTCACACACCAAAACCAAACCAAACACAACAACACAACAAAGTCACACTCACACCAAACCCAAACCAAACACAACAATAGCAAAACAAAGTCACACACACACCAAACACAACAACAAAATCCAAAACAAACCAAACAAATCCTCCCACACAGGAAATCAAAAAGGAAAAATAAACTGAAAACCAAACAGTGCTGATACAGCTCAGTGGCAGGGAACTTGCCTAATTCAATTAACAATATCACACACTCTTAGGAGGCAGAGACAGGTGGATCTCTGTGAGTTCCAGCCCAGCCTGTTCTACAGAGCGAGTTCCAGGACAGGCTCCAAAGCTACAGAGAAGCCCTGTCTTAAAAGACCCAAAAAATAAAAACAAAACAAAGAATCAATATTACACACATTAATAAAGTAGTCAGGTGTGGTGGTAGATGCCTGTAATCCTAGCCTTTAAGAGGTAGAGCCCAGAGGCTCAGATCAAAGTCTGTCTAGGCTACCTAGTGAAGTTAAGGACTGTTTGGGCTCTAAGAAATCTTGTTTCAAAAACACAAGTAAAGCCTTTAACCCCAGCACTTGGGAGGCAGCGGCAGGCAGATCTCTGAGTTTGAAGCCAACCTGGTCTACAGAGCTAGTTCCAGGGCAGCCAGGACTATACAGAAAACAAACAATAACAACAATAACAAAAACCCCGCAAGTAAATAATTAAAATGAGGCCTGGAGACAGCCCAGCTTGTAAGGAGTCTTTCTGTCCCACCAGCCAACTCCCAAATAAGGACATGGGGACATTAATTATGAAAGCGTGGCCTTAGCTTAGATTTGTCCCACTACCTGTTATAACGTAAATTAACTTCCTTTATTAATCTACATTTTACCATGTGGCTTTTTACCTTTCTTTTATTCTATACACCTGAATCCCTGCCTAGCTCATTGGCATTTCCCGTGTACCTACATTCTCCTTCTGTTCCTTTCTCTCCTCGGAAGTTCTGCCTAAACCTCCCGCCTAGCTATTGGCCATTCAGCTTTTTATTACACCAATCACAGCAAATACATCTTCGCACAGTGTACAGCGAAGCCACAACACCAGCAGGTAGAGGCACTTGCTGTGTTCCTCCGCCAACCTGAATGATGCCTGAAGCCCATGCAAAGGTGGAAGGAAAGAGCTGACTCCACGGGAGTTGTGCTCTGACCCCCCCCATATTCGCTGTGGCATGTGGGCACAGGCACACACCAGGCTCATATGAATACTGTACAGTAATAGCAAGTAAATAAAATGGAAAACACAAACCCAGAAGACGATCCATCTATCTCCTTGCTTGCTTTAGTGTTTGCCTGTGTGTGGAGGCCATGGATCAACAAATGTCTTCCTTAGCTGCTGTAAAACCATTTTCTTTCTCTCCTTGCACAGGGTGTGTTGCACGGAATTAACTCCGCTCTTCGGGCTTTGCAGCAGGTACCTTCTCCCTGCTGAGCCATCTCACCAACCCTGTCAATCCTTCTTTCTGAGATAGGGTCTTTCACTGGAGCATGCTGATTGGCTAGGCTGGCTGGTTGGCCAGAGAGCCCCAGGAATGCTCTTGATCAGTCTCCTCCATTCCTATCCCTAGACCTGGGGGTGGGGTGGGGGTGGGGTGGGGATGGAGGTTAGATACACGCTGCAGTACTTGGCTTCTTAATTGTGGATTCTTCTGCATTCAGGACAAGCACTTTAATGACCCAGCTTATCTCCCTAGCCCTAGATAGTCTGTGTTACTCTGTCTTCTTTCTGGCTCATGTAAAATAAATAAATAAATAAATAAATAAATAAATAAATAAATAAATAAAATAATGCAGGTGTTTGGACACAAAATCCTGGCAGCTGGTGCACTTCACACCTGTGTAGATACTCTGAGTCCCTGAAGAAGCCACCTTTAAATGACTGTCACGCTTCAGACCACTAGTGCCTTCTCAAGTCACTGAGGGAATGACTAAAATACTCCCGGTAGCTTCTGAGGTCCCTCAGGACCTGGTCCTTCCTGATAAGGACACTCTGGCTTGTCCTAAATTTAACTCTGAGGAGGGACGGGAGATGAAGGGAGAGATAAAGGAGAGAAGTCACTGAACAGCCAGTTAACCAGCAAAAGACCTTCCCACTCCTCCTGACTCAGTGTGGTGGCCCAAGCCTGTAATCCTAGTACTCCGGATGCTCAGGCAAGAGGACCATGAGTTCCAGGCTAGCCTGTGTTATAGGACTAAGATAGTGTCTCAAAACCAAACAAGGGGGTTGGCTTGCTTGGTGAAGTGCTTAACACGCAAGCCTGAGGACAGGAGACCTAATCCCCAGCAGTCAGGTAAAAGCCAAGCACACTGGGAAGCAGAGACGAGAGGATCCCTGGGGCTTCCTGTCCCCAGTGCTTAAGTAAAAAGTTAAGCCACACTGGGAAGCGGAGATAAAAGGATCCCTGGGACTTTCTGGTCAACCAGCCTAACCAATCCATGACCTCTAGGCCCAGTGAGATACCCTGTCTCTAAAAATAATGAGGGGCTGGAGAAACGTCTCATCTCAGTGGTTAAGAGCACTGGCTGATCTTGTAGAGTACCTACATGGTAGCTCATAGCTATCTGTAACTCCAGTTCCAGGAGATCTGATGTTCTTTTCTGGCCCGTGAGGTCTCCAGACACTAAAGTAGTGCACAGACATATGTGCTGGCAAGACACTCAAACATATAAAATAACAAACAAACAAATAAGATAAGCGGTACTTATAAGCAGAAGCCAGTGGGCCTCTGAGTTTGAGGCCAGCCTATTCTACAGAGCAAGTTTCAGGGCAGCCAGGGCTACATAGAGAAATCCTGTCTTGAAAAATAAACAAACAAAAAATTGGGTGTGGAACTTATTGGTGGAAGCTCATCTAGCATGGGTGCAGTTCTGACTCCAATCTCCAGTATGGAATTCCATTTCTTTTTTTTTTTCTTTTTCTTTTTTTTAAAAAACATTTATGCATTGTGTGCACATGTTTGTGTACATGTCAGGGCATCTATGTCCCACAGTGCAGTTGTGAAGGTCGGGACAACTTTCAGGAGTTGGCTTTCAGGAGTTGGTTCTACCATGTGGGAACCAGGTACTGAACTCAGGTCATCAGTCTTGGTGGCAAGTGCTTTACCTGTTGAACCATCTCACCGACTCCAGCACAGACTTTTTTGTTTTGTTTTGTTTTTCGAGATAGGTTTCTCTATGTAGCTTTGGAGCCTGTCCTGGAACTCTCTCTGTAGAACAGGCCTGGCCTCAGAGTCAGAGATCTGCCTGCCTCTACCTCCCCAGTGCTGAGATTAAAGGTGTGTGCCACCACCATACAGCTTGCACAGACTTTTTAAAAAACAAACAAACAAAACCCTTAGACGTGGGTTTGGCAGACAGTTTCTCTTCTTTCTTTTTTGATATAGCTCAGGCTAGCCTTACGCTCCTGATTCCAACTCCCCAAAGCTAGGATGAAATGGGTGTACCACCATATCTAATTCCATTCATTTTGTTTGTTTTTGAGACAGGGCCTCACTGTGAAGTGATGCTGGCCTGGAATTCCAGACGATCCTCTACCTCAGCTTCCCCAGTGTGGGAACTCCAGTCAGGAGCCATGATGCCTAGCCGGCAGCCATATTTCCCCTTGCTACCGAGCTCTGCTGAAGGAGCAGTAGAAACCCTCTGCTGTCTTCAGACTTTTCTGCCTAGATTTTCAACAGTTCAATAAACCCCTCTGTTTTAGAGATCTTGTGGTTTCTGACAGCCCTTAATCTTTTTTGGGGGGGCCCTCTTCTTCCTGGGTGCCAGGCCTCTTTCACTTCCTCAAACTCCACTAAGCCCTTTCCGGTCTTGTTCTGGCCTAGTCAGAACTTACAGATCTCTGTGAGATCAAGGCTGGCCAAGGTTGCATGATGAAAATCTACCTTTAAAAAACACAAAACAAAACAACAAACAAAAAAACCCCAAACTTTTGGGGGCTGGAAAAATGGTACAGCCTGCAAAGTGTTTACTATGTAAATTTGAGGACCTGAGCCTGACCCCCACCACTGACACAAAAGTCAGGCCCCCTAGTGCATATATAGACCCAGCTTGGGGAGGTAGGGAGGACAGAGCTCACTTGCTGGCTAGTGAATCAGTAAGATCCGGGCTCAGTGAAAGCCACTGTCAAAAAAATAAGATGGTAAGCAATTCAAGAAGACATCCAGTGTTGATTTCTGGAGTACACACCTGCAGAGACACTCACATGCATGCATGTGCAGTGCACATGCACACATGCATGCACACACACACACACACACACACACACACACAAATGCACACACACTGTATGCACACATGCACGCAAGCACGCACACAGCAGCCTATTCTCTCCACCTGGTTCTTACTTCACTGCTCCAGAGTGTAGTCTTGGTATCAAGGTTTTCCACACACGCACACAGTTGCACAAGCACACACAGCAGCCTATTCTCTCAGTCTGGTTCTCACTTTACCGCTCCACAGTGCAGTCTTGGTATCAAAACTTTCCAGACTCCAGGTGGTTGCAGCCTGCAGCCCTGGGCGAGGACCAGCCATGACATAGTGAGCATCTCTTTGCCAAGCCTGCTTCTGCAGGGCTAAGGTTCCCAATTGGCCATGGTGTCATCCCTACGGTGACACTGGAAGCATGCATGCAGCCTGCACAGCACTTCGGACTGTGCCTGACGAATCCCTTGAAGGAACTGGATTTCAACATTTATTCTGGTTCAGGAACAACCTTTCCTGACCTCACCTGCCAGTCAGAGATGTAAACCCTAACACTCCACCAAGCCTGGAGCTACAGGACTATAACTGTAGCCCTTGAGAGGTACAGAGGTTCAAGGCTTCAGAGGTTTTAGAGGTTCAAGGCCAGCCTCAGTCACTTGGAGAGTGCCAATCTGGGCTATATAAGACTGTCTCAAAAAGAAAAAAAAAAGGAAGGAAGGAAGAAAAGAAAGAGAGAAAGAGAGAGAGAGAGAGAGGAAGAAAGAAAGAAAGAAAAAGAGAGAGAAAGGGAACCAAATTAGATCACCTTCCAGCTGAAACTGCATGGCGTGTCACCAGGACTGAGCTCTCGTGCACAGTGTTGAGCTGACACTGTGGGAGTCGTTTCTTGTTCCTTTTGATGCAGCAGGAACTACAAAAACTGGAAGTGGCTTGAGCCACTCCATGTCCCTGAGAGCCAGGCCCTAGCGTGTTTCTCAGCTGGGAGCGGCTTTGCTTCAGCTTCAGTCAGCAGGGGGCACAGAGGTGGGGTCCTAGGGAAGCTGGCATCGTGGGTTGACTTCTTCCTGAAGATTTCTAAGTAGAGTCTCAACTGCAGCAGGATCCTGAGAGGCCTGGTGGGGGAGATGAGGACGCCAGGAGCGGGAAGAGAAGTCATCACAGGTGCAAGCAAGAGGGAGATCCCTGAGAGCAAAAGGTGCAAAGCTGCGTGGAGGTTCTGAGGTTCTGAGGCAGACAACTTCTGGCCTGGAGAATGGGCCTCACAGGACTTGTGAGTGGGTTCAGCAGTTAAGAGAGCACTTGTTGTAGCCCTGTAGGCTGGGTGGTGGCAGCGGCACAAACCCTTAATCCCAGCACTCCAGAGGCAGAGGATGACGGATCTCTGGGATCTCTGAGTTCGAGGCCTGCCTCATTTACAGAGTGAGTTTCAGGACAGCCAGGGCTACACAGTGAGACCCTGTCTCAAAAAACCAAAGAGAGAGCAAGAGAAGAAAAGAATGAGTCCCACATCATGTTGTGCTTGGCAAAATCTATGCTTGAGAGTATCCTCAGGTAGAGAATTACAGGTACACACATGAACCCCTGACCTTTTGCTGACACCCATGTTTAGGTGTGTGTGTGTATGTGTGTGTGTGTAAGAATTAAACCTCAGGATTTTATTGTCTTTCTAACAAAATTGGCTCTGACCTGTATCAATCCCAATCTCTCTCTCTCTCTCTCTCTCTCTCTCTCTCTCTCTCTCTCTCTTTCCCGAGACAGGGTTTCTCTGTAGCTTTGGAGCCTTTCCTGCAACTAGCTCTTGTAGACCAGGCTGGCCTCCAACTCACAGAGATCGCCTGCCTCTGCCTCCCAAGTGCTGGAATTAAAGGCGTGCGCCACCACCTGGCCAATCCCAATCTCTTTCTTTCTTCTCCTCTCCCTCCCTTCACCTCTTATGTGTGAGTGTTTTATCTGCATGTATGTATGTGCACCACATGTGTGCCTGGTGCCCTTACAGGTCAGAAGAGGGCATTGGATGCCCTCGAACAACAGTTACAGACAGTTGTGAGTTGCCATGTGGGTACTGGGAATTGCTCTCTGGAAGACTACCAGGACTCTTAACCTCTGAGCCATCTCTCCAGCCCTATTGTACATCTCAAATAGCCAGAATCTTTTTAGATTTGCAGTTGAGCTCAACACACTGAAGCTTTGGCAAAATCTTTGTAATCTTAACCTTTTTGCAGAAAATCGGCTTGGGGTGTCCCTGGTAGCCACTATACTTGCCCTTTTGTGGGGTTGGTGCTTACCACATTTCTTGCAGAAAGTCAAACAAGCTTTAGAAATGCCCACCGTGTCTGCAGGCATGTTGTCAGCCTTCTGCTATGGGGTGCTGGAAGCCCCACCTGCTGGAGCCTGGCTGGTGGAGAAGTGACTGGCAGTGTTCGACACACGGCACTGAAGACCACGCTTCTGCCTGATTCCCAGCTACAGAGGAGAGAGTCATGTGCACAAGCAAGACTTTCTGAGACCCTGGGCCTGTGTTTCTCTCCTGCAATTCCTACTTTTAGTGTTTGTTTTTGTTTTTGGCTTGAGACAGATTTCCATGTAACTCAGGCTGGCTTTGAATTCACTACTTAGCTCAGGATGACCCTGTACTTACTATCTATGGCATCCACCTCTCCAGTGCTGGGATTACAGACAAGGCTACCACACCCAGTATGATAGAAAGCCCTGGATTCCAGAGTGCCAGAGTGCTTACCTCATAAGCCTAGCTCCCCTGAACCCATGAAAGATGGAAAGACAGAACTGACTCCACAAAGTTGTCCTCTGGCTGGGTGGTGGCTCATGCCTTTAATCCTGGCAGTCAGGAGGCAGAGTGAGTTCCAGGACAGCCAAGGCTACACAGAGAAACACTGTTTCGAAAAACAAAACAAAACAAAACAAAAAAAAGATTGGAGCTGGAGAGAGGACTCAGCGGTTATGAACATTGACCATTCTTACAGAGGACCTAGGTTCAACTCCCAGCACCCACATGGCAGCTCACAGTTGTCTGTAACTCCAGTTCTAGTGGATCCGACATCTTTATACAGACATAACATGCAGGAAAGACACCAATGCACATAAGAAAAAGTTGTCCTCTGACCGCCACACATGTGCTGTGGTACACACACACACACATACGCGCGCGCACACACACACACACGAACATACAAACAACAGCAAAAGAGGTAAGGAGAAATAATGGGAGGACTTCTGGGCACTACATGTGTGCACACACCTGCATACACGGGTGTACACATATACCGTACATATGCCATATAAAATACCTTTATGAAAGCATAGAACTACTTTTGTAAAAGCATAGAGAGGGGGTGTAAGAGATGGCTCAGTGAGTAAAGAGCTTGCTGCCAAGTCTGATGACTTGAGTTCAAATCCTGGGACCTACATGGTGGAAGGAGAGAACTGAGTCTTGAAAGTTGTCCTTCAGCCTACACAGGTTCCTGAAAGCATGTATATGACACACCACGATAAATAAATGAATGTAAATTCTACAAAGCCATAGAGAGGGCTGGAGGATGGCGCAGTCAGTAGTGTTAGCTGAGGACCCAAGCTTGGTTTCTACCATGTAAAAGACTGGGCATGGTGGTGTGTGTTTGTATCCCAGGGTGGGGAGGTGGAGACCTGGAGTTTACTGATCAGCTAGTGTAGTGTAGTTGGTACGTTCCAGGTTCACTGAGACTGTCTCAAAAAAAAAAGAAAAGCAAAACATAGTAAAGGAAGATGATGGGTATTGGCCTCATACATGCACGCACGCACGCGCGCACACACACACACACACACACATGCACACAGGCATGCTTGCGCACACACATGCACATATATATGCTTGCACATGCACGTGCACACACACATGTATGCACACAGGCACGCTGGCGCACACACATGCACACATATAAATGCATGCACACGCACACACACACAAGCACAGGGATACCTGGTTTAGCCTCTCCATGTTCAAAGCGGTATTTCTTGGAGTTACCATTCATTCCCTTGTCCTTAGAGGGCCAGTGGCTGCACATTTTTAGCCACCAGGGCTTCCAATCTGACAGTCTTTCCTTATATGCAGTTTAGTGCTTTGGTCTCTTTGAGCCAGGAGAGCTCTGATTACATTTCCATGGAGGCTGCGTTAATTAATGGTGGTGATAAGATTTTATGAAAGAGAGAATTAAGATCCAGCGCCTGGCTGCTTTCACAGAAGTCAGTGTTAACAAGCGCTAATGGACTGATGGGGAGCCCTCTGCTCCCAGTAAGCCTCCCACCTACCCCACACCCTGACCTCACCCTTGAGCTTGTTCTTTTTTTTTTTTTTTCTGAAGCTTGTTCTTACAGCTGGATGCCAGTTAGGTAGCTCCTTCCCAGTGTTCAACACCTCTCTGCAGGGCTCTGAGTACAAACCCCAGTGCTCAGAGGCCAAGATATTTACTCATAAGAAGCAAGGTGTCTTTGTCATGCCAACACTCAAAGGGCAGAGACTAGCCTGGTCTACACAGAGAATTCTAGGACAGTCATTCATTCATAAAGAGATCTTATGTCCAAAGCAAAATAAAAGCTGGGTGGTGGTGGTGCACACTTTTAACACTGGGAAGGCAGAAGGAGGATCTCTGTGATTTTGCGAGAGATTTTGATCCCTCTACCCCCCCCCCCAAAAAAAAAACAGAATGGAAATCAAGACCAGCCTAGGAAATAACATGGTTGTACAGGCCTATAGTCCCATCACTGAGTGGTGAAGGCAAGAGGAACTGGGTTCAAAGTCATTCTCAGCTACATAGGAAGCTTGAGGTCAGACCCTGCCTCAAGAAAACAATCAGGCCGGTGTTGGTGGCAAACACCTTTAATCCCAGAACTTGGGAGAGAGGCAGAGGCAGGCAGATCTCTGAGTTCAAGGCCAGCCTGGTCTACAGAGGGAATTCCAGGACAGACTCTAAAAAGCTACAGAGAAACTCTGTCTTGAAAAAAACCAAAAACCATACCAAAACAAAAAGCAAGCAAACAAAAACCAAAACAAAAGCAATCAGTGGTGGTAGCACACACCTTTAAGTACTCAGGAGGCAGAGGCAGGCAGATCTCTGTGAGTTTGAAGCTAATCTGGTTTACAAAGTAAGTTCCAGGACAGACAGGACTACACAGAGAAACCGAGAAAAAGAGAGAGAGAGAGAGAGAGAGAGAGAGAGAGAGAGAAAACTTAAACTATTAACCAAGCCTGTGTGGTATATCACAACATATGTGACAGAACAGATTTTATATATGCACATTTATCTTTTATCTATTAAATATATTAGTATTATACAAGGTCTCATGTAGAAGAGGCTGGCCTAGCACTCATTATGTAAATCAGGCTAGCCTGGAACTCATGACAATCCTCCTGCCTCAGCCTCCTAAGAAGTGTGATTACAGGCACGAGCCACATACCTAGATATTATATACAATATATGATCTATTATGGGCATGTATGTGTGCAGTACACACATACACTACACATTTCCATTTACTGTTATATTACATATGACATATGGACTCCATGTATGTTGTTACACGTATCATCATGTGTCTTGTAGACAGTATTATTACTGTCCCAATTACTGATGGAAAATCTGAGACTCAGAGAAGTTTAGTAAGTTACTTAGAGTCACCATCGAGTCTGGCTGGTTAGCGCAATTGACTAGCGTTAATAGGGTCACCATGCTATTAAGTGCCAGTTGATTTTGTCTCCTTGATTTCTGGGAGCTGTGGCTTCATCCTGACAGGTTGATTTTGGAAACATCTGTCCTTCTCCCTCTGCCATTTCCTGCTACCTAACACAGCACGAAACCCAAACTATTGACTAAATAATTCCAGTCCTTGGAAGTGGAGACAGCAGAATCAACAAGCCAGCCTCAGCTACACAGCAAAGTTAAAGCTAGCCTGGTCTACATAGTGAGACCTTGTCTCAGAAAAGATAAAGAAAATTGGGTGGCTTCTGTCTTAAATGGTCTGCTTAAGCCAACAAACCAGGTTCAATGAAAGAATGTATAGCCAGGAGTGATGGTAATCATTTGCAATACCAGTACTCAGGAAAATAAGGCAGGAGGATTGCTATGAATGTGAGACCAGTGAGTTTCGGGCCAGCTCAAGCTGGTCCAGAAAAAGAAAAGGAAAGAAAAAAAAATTATATTTAAAGACCGAAATATCTATCTATCTATCTATCTATCTATCTATCTATCTATCTATCTATCTATCTATCTATCTATCTACCTACCTACCTACCTATCTATCTATACACTTATAGTATATGTGTGTTGTGGGGGTGGGGTTCAGTAGTCATCCATGTGCATGGAGGTCAGTAAATAACTTGCATAAGTCACCTCTCCCTCCACCCTTAGGGACTCTAGGCTCGAACTTGGGTCCCCAGAGGTGTGAAGGAGCACCTTTATCCACTGAGCCATTTTGCCCACCCAAATTATAAATTTTAATGTGCTTTCTAGTATCAAAACCAGAATCTCCCTTCTAACCTGTAGACTCACTGTTCCGGCTCCAAGACCTCATGTTTTATTTTCCAGTAAAGCTGACAGGTCCTCGTCCGTCCCCTCTGCCCGAGAAACCCCCGCAGTGGGCCTCCTGGTATTTTGTTTTCATTTCAGCGCTGACAAGCAGGATCACATCAGGCTGAACTTCCTGTGGAAGAATTCACAGAAAAGTTATTTATGGCGACTTCATCTTCCGGCTCTGAGACAGTGACCCGGGTTAAAGTCGGAGGGGTGCGGAAGTGGAGCCCGGCGCGCTGCACGGAGGAAAAAGAAGGCGCGGTCAGGGCAGCGACTGCCTAGATAAGCTGTTTAAATCGCAGACTGGGTGGTATATTATATTTAATGCTTATTGTCCTATTACATTTATTAATTTGTTGCCTGTGCTCGCGCGCGCGTGCACATACACACTATAGTGTGCGTGTAGAGGTCAGAAAACAACTTGTGGACCTCTGTTCTCCCTTCTCCCATGTGGGTCTCCGGGACTGAATTCAGCCTGCCAGGTTTAGCATCGAGCATCTTAGCCGTCTTCCTGGCCCAATGCCTAATATTTTAAAATCTAACAGAGAATGAGAGCAAAAAAGAAAAGTATCTTCCATGTGTTTTGAGACAAGAGTCTCATGTAGCCTAGATTGGTCTTAAACTCTCCATATACAGCCAAGTAGGGTCTTTAACTCACGATCATCCTGACTTTGCTCCCGAATGATCAGAGGTGTTTGTCATCATGCCTGGCTGTTTTGTGGCTCGTGCCTGTAAATGATGCCGCAGGGAATGCAGAGATGGGCAGATTTCTGTGAAGTCAGTGGTCACTTTGGGTGGCTTACAACTGCCTGTAACTCCAGCTCCGGGGGTTCTGACATCTTCTGATCTCTCAGAACATTGCACTCATGTGTACAGACCCCCACACAGTCACAGTCGTACATACACACACAGAGCCACACACACATATACACAGTGACACACATACAGACATACAGAGACATACACACACAAACAGGCACACACACATAGAGACACACACAGAGACAGATAGGCGCACATACACATGGACAGACAGATACACACACATACACAGAGCCACACACACATACATGCACAGACAGACAGACAGACACTCATAAATGACATGAAATGTCTTCCCTCTTGGAGCCCCTCTGACTATCAGGGTTCTTCTCCCTTGTTTTAATGAACATATATTTGCTCTGCTCAAAGCAAACACACACTCTGTCTTTTCTCTTAGGTTTACCTACGATGCTTAGCATAGCGGCCTGAAGTGAGACCATCCGGCTCTAGACACTTTCTAGCTTGAGAGCCTCGTGCCTCAGTTTCCTCCTCTTCCTCCTCCCCCCCCCTTTTTTTTCAGGCAGGTCTTCTCTGTGTAGCTTTGGCTGTCCTGGAACTCACTCTGTAGACCGGGCTGGCCTTGAACTCACAGAGATCCTCCTGTTTTTGCCTTCCAAGTGCTAGGATTAAGGGTGTGGGCCACCACCGACCAGCAATAGTTTCTTTCTAAAACTCAGCTCCACCAAGAGTCTGTGCATTTAAGCTCTGGGAATAGAATTTTTGCAGCTGGTAGCCAAGCTAAAGTAGCTTTGATGAACCAGTGGTGTTGCTCTAAAATCCAACATGGCAGGGGACTTTACAAGAAGAGAGATGTTTGGGGGCTGGGGATGTAGCTCAGATGTTGAATGCTCACCTTGAATGCATAAGGCAGTGAGTTTGATCTCTAGAGATTCATAAACTAAGCCCAATGGTGTACATCTACAACCCCAGCATTAGGGAGGTGTGAGGCAGGAGGATCAGAAATTCAAGGTCACCCTTAGCAACACAGAGTTTGAAGCCAGCCTCAACTACGTGACAACCTTTCTTTAGAAAAAAAAAAAAAGAGCCAGGCGGTGGTGGGGCAGGCCTGTAATCTTTGATCCCAGCGCTCAGGAAGAGACAGATCTCTGTGAGTCGGAGGCCAGCCTGGGCTACAAAATGAGTTCCAGGACAGCAGGAGCTGTTACTTAGAGAAACCCTGTCTCAGAACCCCCACCCCACCAAAAACAGGGGAGACTGTAGAGATGGCTCAGCAGTTAAGAGCACTGTCTTCACTCCCAGAGGACCCTGTTCAATTTCTACCACCCACATGGCAGCTCACTGCTGTCTGTGACTCCAGTTCCAGGGAATCCAACACCTTCATTCAGAAATACATGCAGGCAAAACACCAATATACTTAACATAAAAATAAATTATGTTTTTTAAAAAAATTAGAAAAGCACAGACCTCTGAGCTTGGGGGTGCAGCCCTGACATCTCAGCACTCAAGAAACAGAGTCAGGACAGCTAGTTCAAGACTAGCTTGGGCTGCAAAGTAAGATCCTTTCTCAATCAAATAAAATACCCAGAGTCCTAGATACATAGGGGACAAGACCAGGGGAAGACAGACTGAGGCCAAGTGTGACGTCAACACACTGTGTCTACCAGCATTTCTAGCAAACACCAGGGACAGAGGGAGGCCCCAAGGATTCCTCCCCAGAACCTTTGAGCAGTGCAGATTTTTGTCTTTTTTTTAAATTATTTATTTATTTATTATGTATATAATATTCTGTCTGTGTATGCCTGCAGGCCAGAAGAGGGCACCAGACCCCATTACAGATGGTTGTGAGCCACCATGTGGTTGCTGGGAATTGAACTCAGGACCTTTGGAAGAGCAGACGATGCTCTTAACCTCTGAGCCATCTCTCCAGCCCCAGATTTTTGTCTTTTGTCCCCAGAACTGCAAAGGGACACATTTCTGTAGTTTAAAGCCATCAGGATTGTGGTCACCTGTCATCTGAGCTCTGGGGAACCAATCCACCCACAGTGAGAGAGAGGAAAATGAAAATTATAGTAACATATTATTTTAACCACTTTGACAAAGATCAAAAGGTCTGATAGCAGCCAGGCAGTGAGTGTTCTGAGAAGCGTGTGGCTTGCTTTCTTCACTGGCAGGAAGATATGTAAATTGATGTAATCATTGTGGCATTGGTATGACAAATTCTATCAGAATGACAAATGAAATTTCCTTTTGACCCAAAAATTCTGCTTCTAAGATTTGTTCAACACATGAAAAAAAAAATGAGCATCCTTGGAGCCTACTGACACGTACCTGTAATCCCAGCATCTGGAGGCAGAGGTAGGAGGGTCGCTAATTTGAGATCATTCTGGGATTACATTGAGAAGCTGAGGCAGAATCAAATCTAGCCTGGGCTACATAGTGAATTCCTAACCAGCCTAAGCTACATCGCCAGACTCTGTATGAAAAAGTGGAGGAGGAGGAGGAGGAGGAGGAAGTGGAGGAAGAGGAGGAGAAGGAAAGTGGAGGAGGAGAAGGAGGAAGTGGAGAAGGAGGAGGAGGAGGAGGAGGAGGAGGAGGAGGAGGAAGAGGAGATGGAAGTTTAGTAGTACACACCAAGGATTCTACACTTCAGAGCCAGAAGCATGAAGAGCAGAAATTCTACGACATAGGGTCTTACTGTGTAGTCAGTCTTGTCTGGCTTGGAACTCTACTATGTAGACCAGGTTGGCCTTAAAATCATAAATCACAGAGATCCACCTGCCCTGCCTCCTAAATGTTGGGATCAAAGGCATACAGCACCACCCTGGGCTACTTTCTTTTCCCACTCTTCTTCCCCCCCCCCCCCCCCCCCACAAGCTTTCTCTGGGTAGCCCTGGTTGTACTGGAACTGGCTTTATAGACCAGGCTGGGCTCAACCTCACAGAGATTCGCCTACCTCTGCTACCTAAGTGATGGGATTAAAAGCGAGCGCCACCATCGCCAATTACTTTCCCATTCTTTTCTTGACCCTCTGGGCATTTCCACTCTTTTTCTGAAGATCCTGTAGCTGACCGCTGTTGCTGAACTTGCTAGCCTTCTTGGACAATAATTTAAAAGATGTATCTTTCTCTCTTCTCCTTTCCCACCTGCCTCCTCCTGGTATCTGCCAAGATTACAATTTACCTACCCTCCAGACTCTCCCAGATTCTAATAAACTGATCCTTGAGTCCTTTCAAATGCTTAAAAGAAGTATTTTATCACCAGGCGGTGGTGGCACGTGCCTTTAATCACAGCACTTGAGAGGTAGAGGCAGGCAGATCTCTGTAAATTCAAGGCCAGTCTGGTCTACAGAGCGAGTTCCGAGGACAGCTAGAGCTGTTACGCAGAGAAACCCTGTCTCAAAAAACAAATAAAAAATAATATTTTATCAGTGAGACTAAGAACTCATGAAAGGATCCCCAAGTTCCCTGAAGACTCAAGTTCATATTCCATGGGGAGAAAACCTGGTGCAGCAGAGTTTATATGTAAACCCAGCACTGGGGAGGCAGGCACAGGAAGGTTCTGGAGATTTATGGGCCAGCCAGTCTAGACTAATCAGTGAGCTCCAGGTTCAGTGAGAAATCTTTCACACACACACACATACACACACACATACACACACACACACACACACACACACTACCACCTCAGAGAGGAAAAAGAGAAGGGAGGGAGGGCTTGAGAGAGGGAGAGAGAAACTAGCTTTGACTGGTTTGGGTCACATCTATCTGGGCATATGACAAGGGAGCACAGTGAGTGTTTGGGGCTAGGACTGGAACTGCCACTTCACACTTGGATTGCCACTGGGAGGGTTTGATCTTAAAAAGAAAAGTGCCAGGCATAGTGGACCACACCTTTAGCCCCAGCACTCAAGGGGCAGAGGCAGGCAGATCTCTGTGAGTCTAAGGCCAGCCTGGTCTACATAGGGAGTCCAGGATTGCATAGTGAGACCCTACCTCAAAAAAGAAGAAAGAGGGCTGGAGAGATGGCTCAGAGGTTAAGAGCATTGCCTACTCGGCCAAAGGTTCTGAGTTCAATTCCCAGCAACCACATGGTGGCTCACAACCATCTGTAATGGGGTCTGGTGCCCCTTCTGGCCTGCAGGCATACACACAGACAGAATATTGTATACATAATAAATAAATGAATATTTTTTAAAAAGAAAGAATATGAAAAAGGAGGAGAGGAGAAGGAGGAGGAGTAGGGCTTGTTTCCAAAGAATGGACATTGGAGACTGAGCCAATGGGGGTGACTACTGTAGGCAAAGGAGGGAACCACATTCTTGGATTCAGACAGAGCCATAGCCAGAGGCCTTGATGTGATCAAAGAGTCGGGCTTTGTGGAAAGACTGAGACATCCATTCTCTTTTAGGAGTCTAATTGACTCCCATTCAAGTCAACAACTTTATTAATT